CAAACCGTGTTTTGACACAATAATCCACCAAACCGTGTCTTGACACAATAATCCACCAAACCGTGTCCTGACTCAATAATCCACCAAACCGTGTCCTGACACAATAATCCACCAAACCCTGTCTTGACACAATAATCCACCAAACCGTGTCCTGACTCAATAATCCACCAAACCATGTCCTGACACAATAATCCACCAAACCGTGTCCTGACACAATAATCCACCAAACCGTGTTTTGACACAATAATCCACCAAACCGTGTCTTGACACAATAATCCACCAAACCGTGTCCTGACACAATAATCCACCAAACTGTGTCCTGACACAATAATCCAGGTACATGAATCTAACTCTATCAAGTCCTCTGGATGGATTCTTCTTTGTTGAAACGTTTAGTCTTTTATCTAAAGATTTCTTCAGTCTGAGGAGCTGCAAAAAACTCACTTGCAAAAAAAGTCAGTCTTATGAGCAGCACCTTCTCATAGTGGATCAACCAGTTTACTGGTGACATCCAGAACTAGCTGTTCACGTGTAAAAGGAGGACCATCAGCCTATGTGGTGTTTGTGCTGACACGTGTTTGAATCTTACCTAGCCTAGAGTTGTGCATTATGGGTAAACCTCTCTACTTTGGTTTCATCTGTCCAACAGACATTGTTCCAGAAGTGTTGTGCTTCACTCAGATGTAACTTTACAAACCCAAGTTGAGCTGCTCTGTTCTTTTTATACAGAGAAGAGCTATTGTCCTGAAATCCTTCCAAACACGACATATTTGTTCTGTCCTCTCCTAAATATCCTGCCATGAACTTTAACTTTGAAGCTGCTCAGTGACATGTTGCTTTGACTTGGTTGTTGTTTGCAATTTCTCTGAGCATTGCATGGTCTGACCTTAGGGTGAACTTGTTGGGTCATACATTTCTGGGAAGATTGGCAGCTGTCTCAAAAGTTGTTCCACTTATGAGTTTTCTTTATCTTCTCGAAAGCTAAACTCCAGAAAGTTTGGGATTGACCTTTAACCTTTCCCAGACTGATGGGCAGCAGCAGTTGTATCTCTGAAGTCATTGCTGCTGATGTCTTTCCTACTTGTCGTTGTGTTAACACACCTGTGTGTGATCAGTGGCAGTTGGCCTTCGATGGAAGCATCAACGGTGAACTTAGTTTCACACACAGAGCTGACGGGCTGTTTTTCTTTAATAAATAATCACATGGAATCGGTTGTTTTTCTACACTTAATGGTAAAACAGAGTAATGCAGGTTAATAACGGAGGTTAGTGTGTGACTTTCAGGATTCTTAGTGTTTTCAGAGAAGCTTTAAGGTGTTTTTCTGTGAAAGTAATGGTGCTATTGGAATGCTGCCAATTATCGTTGTGTTCTTCAGTGCAATGACAATAAGGATAAATTGAATTAACTAATTTTAGAACTTCCTAAAGACCAAATCATTTTTATTACATCCTGATAAAACCCTGAGAATTGAATAAGGGCGCACTTTGAATGATGCTATTGATTGCTGGACTGTATCAGTAACTGTAATATTTTCTCCCTGAAACTCACAGTCATGGATCTCCATCTCGAAGTGCGATGACGGCCTTCTCTTCATGCGGCTGTTGTTGACGACATCGAAGGTTCCCCCTGAAGGTCCCAGGTAGGAACTAGAGCAAAACATGAAATGTTAGAAATGCAGAGCAACAAGAATAATGTGGACAAAAAGACACGTCGTACCATCAGCCTCTTCACTATAAAGGTGCTGCTACTTGAATAAAATATGTGTTTTGTGTCTGCTGGACAAATAAGGAAACGGTAAATGATTATTACGGCTAAAAAATGACTCAGGATGAAGAAAGTTCTTCAAAGGAAAATCAAACGGATCAGTGATTTCTGCTGCTTTAGTTTGAAGAGAAAAAAATGGAGCATGGTCTTATTCAAAGAACTTACTGAATGATAGGAAAGCCACTGCACAAAATAAAAATATAAAAAAACAGTTCCACTTTTAAACAAGATGTTTTCTGATGGTCTGCAAGTTCTTTAACAATACCGTCTAAAAACTGCTGGGTTGCAGCCGTTGTGTCAGGAGTTCTGGTGTTTGACACAATGTTGGGTTAAAAGGTTCGAGCCAGTGGTTGAAGACGAGCTGGGTTGTTCTTCACACTCCACCATTTCAGAGCAGAAGTTAATGAAACTGGACCTCACTGGACGTTTGGATGTGATAAGTAAAGATAAGACGGTAACAACAACTTGGAAGATGCTCAACCACGTGGGCTTTGTTAATAACTTTACTTCACACTGGACAGTCTGGGTTCTTGAACAAAGATAGATGCTAATTATAATATTATAATATTATAATATTATGATATTATAATATGATATTATAATATTATATATTAAAATATGATATTATAATATTAT